TCTCAAAAAGTTGCAAATAGAGATACCATTTGACCCAGCAATTCCACTACTGGGAATACACCCCAAAGAGACCATAACTGCCATCCAAGCAGATATATGTACACCCATGTTTATTGCGGCTTTGTTCACGATAGCAAAGAGTTGGAAACAACCTACGTGCCCATCAACAAACGAATGGATAGAGAAGCTGTGGTATATTCACACAATGGAATACTACACTGCATTGAAGAACAAGGAACTCATGCAATATTATTCAAAATGGGTGAGCCTGGAGGACATTATGCTGAGTGAACTATCTCAGTCACAAAAGGACAAATACTGCATAGTGCCACTGTTATAGCAGAGGACCAACATAGGGGTTGGGGGGAGACTGAGAAAGGTGGGATAAATAATGTATGCTGCATTGAAACAGATGAGAGAGAAAACTGTTTAAAAGGGGTATATGATTAGGTATTATTGTCATGACAGGAGTGCAGAATGAAGGCTGCACAGTGGAGTGGACTTAGGGGGAGGGACTGTATAACAATGAAAGAATTTTTTTACTTTTCAAAGAGAAAAGCGAATTAGGAGAGAGGGGTGAGCAGGGAGAAAAGTGCAACAATGAATGCATGGAAATCCAAAGTCCCTGTAAACTTTCATTAAAATTAATTTTTAAAAAGGTAAAAAAATAAAACCCCCCAAACCAGAGAAAACCAAAACTAGAGTTGGGAGAGACGATCTCCAGATAGTGAAAGCTTGCATTTCTGACCCTGGAGTACACTTTTGTGTGATGTAAGATCTGTAATTCCAGTCTCTCTCCACTGCCTGACATTGGGGAAATGATGGTTCTGCGGGGTTACAGGTCAGAATAAACTGCTTTCACCGTATGGTGTGGACAAAGGTCTGTGGTGGGAGGCCCTGCCTGGGGCGGTGGCAGGGGGCACTGTAGGACAGCTCTGATGATACACTTGACTTAGGGCACTAAGGCCTTGGACTCACCGTCCCAGGATCCCTTACGTGTTTCCTAGAAGGGCCTGGGGGAGTGACATTTTTGGAACAGCCTGTGTTTTCACTAGTGTGTGGTCAAGAACAGAGGGATCCTTCTCATTTCGGGGGGCTGTAGAAGTGGGGCTGCCCCCAGCATCTTCTCTAGCATTGGCCGAAGCTCTCAATTCCTTTGCGTTCGGGGACCCCTGTGCATGGCCTGGTGGTTCCACTTTTACA